GGCCAAATTAAAAACCAAGAGGGGTTTTCCTCCTCCCTAGCAAGCTATGAACCAAGTGAGCCCATGCTTCCGCATGAACTGGACTGACAGCAATGGATGCCTGGACGTGCAACGCAACAAACAGGTCAGAGGAGCTGGTAACTAATCTATCCACCCCCTCTCCTAGTGAAACAAGGATTTATTACTCTCTCACCCCACCTCCGTTTCCTTCTGTTTCTGCATTCACACCTACCATTTGCTTTCCTGCCCACTCTCATGTTCCCAGACCATTTACTCATCTCTCATCAGCTCCCCTCACACATATTTTTGCTCAACTGTAATAGAAGTGGCCCTCAAACTCTTCCATGCCTTCTGCCATCACCAGCCTGCAGCAAGTGCTGCTAACTCACAACATAAAGTAGGGATAGAAACTAGCTGTGTGATCCTTAAGTCCAACTCCATCTCAGACTGGCCACTGCAAATCCCAGTTGGAGAAAAATCCTAGCCTGAGGATCTCAACTTGGGCAGCTGAATCTGCTAAGTGGGAATCTCCACCTTGGTCACGTCCTCAACATTTCATCCAGCCTTCTGGCAGGTCACTGGTTGGGGATGAAAGCAACTTAGCACTGTTCAGCTCTTGTTCGGGCTAGTTTCAGTTCACGGTTATGCTGCTCGTTCCGAAAGCCCTACACAGGCTTGTCCACACCAGCAGTCACAAGACTCGCATCTCTCTATGCTCTTTTGCTCTCCTCACACTGGCAGCCTCTCCGACCTTCCACTACTGATGCAAGGACTCTCTCTGCTACAGTCAGCCCTAGAGATCTCCCCTTTCTGTTTTGAAGCAGCCACAACAAGACTTAGCTCTTCTCTAACACCTCTCATCTGCAGATCAAAGCCAGAGCAGTCGTTGCTTTCTCTAATTTGGAAATGGGGAAACCGAGTCACAGAGGGGAAACTGCCTTGCCCAAAATGGTCTGGCAGGCAGGGGCCAATCTAGGAACAGCACCCAGGTCCCCAGAGCTTTGTACGTTAGGTAACACTGGCTCCCAACCCAGCGATGGCTTTCCTTTGCCTCCACGATACAACTCAGCCAAGCCTTTTGAGGTGTGGCCATGAAGCCTCTATGAACTAAAGCTGTATGGTAGGTGGTTTTGAAATGACTGACCTTCCAAAATTTTCTTGTACCTACAAAAAAATTTCTAACTGGCTGTAAGCTTTTCATTTACATTATAATTTGGTTGTTTTTTTGTTTTTGTTTGTTGTTTTTTGGGGGTTTTTTTGGTTGGGGGGGCAGAAGAAGAGGGTACATACCAGGTTCACTGCCTGATTGTCTGTGCAAAAAGCCATGCTCAGTGGAATCTGGTACAAGATGGAGCATTCCTGCACTACCAACAGGTGATGCTCCCTACTTTCACTCTTGGCATTTACAAGGGCAAGTCCTTAATTGGGAACAGGTGCTTATGAACACTGCCCTTGCAGCTGAAGAATAGCACTAAAATGGGAGCAAACTATGTGCTCTTACTGTATGCTCAGGTGTGGACCCAGTTTTGCAGCTCGTTGTTCCAGATGCTTTAAACTCCATAACAAACAAGTTGCCAAGTGACGGTGGGAACTCTGGAACGCTATGGTGTCCAGGATAAAAAAAAAGTCAGCCACTGAACAGTAAGAAGACACCTGTATTTGGAGAGATGCAAACAGCTGGGGGCCCCACATGCCACGGGCTGCATGTCACAACATGGACTCCCCCCCCCCACTGCAGCAGGTACCTGCACAGGAACTCATCCCCACTGCTGCAAATGACTCCATGTGGGTCTCTCCCACTGCTCCGCCATGTGTAGTGGCAGGCAATTATTTCGGACCGAGGGCTGCTTACTGAGTTTTGGCAAGCCATCAAGGGCCACATGACAAGCAGCCAGGGGCAGATAAATATTAAATTTTCTTAATTTTGTGGGAGCCCCACAGGCTGGATAAAAATGGCCTGGTGGGCCTCATCCGGCCCCCAGGCCACATTTTGCCCACCCTTGTGCTACACAGTCCTGACCTCACCCTGAGCTCCCTGTACTGCCCTCTTGGAGAGAGGAAGGAGGGGGAGGCCTGGAGACTTCAACTGTTGTTGCAGCTGGAGCAATAAGGGGAGCAGTGGCTGGGCAGGAGCCCCAAGGTGCGAAGATACAGCAAAGCCTTGTCTTTTCACACTAACAGTAGAGATACCACCACAAATTACTGGTCCAAGTCTGAGCCTTGCAATCAAATCCTCAGGGACTTATCTTTGGATAAACTGAAATAATAAATGCATGTACCTTGAAGGGAATACCACCAATATGAATGCATTTCTTGACAGTGAGAAAAAAAAAGTGTGTGTGGGGGGGGGGGCGGTGTTGAGGAGACAAGGAAGGCACATGGTTTGATGAGGTTATACCAGGGGTGGGCAAAATGCAGCCCGGGGGCCAGATGCGGCCCACCAGACCATTCTATCCAGCCCACGAGGCCCCTACAAAAATTTAGAAAGTTAATATTAATCTGCCCTGGGCTGCCTGTCATGCGGCCCTCGATGGCTTGCCAAAACTCGGCAAGCGACCCTCTGCCCAAAATAATTGCCCACCCCTGGGTTATACTGTAACTCCAAATTCAGGCCAGTGTTCTTACTGGTTTTGATACGCAACATGCAAGGGGAAGGGAAATGTAGCTCTTCCCAGAGAGCCACTGAACCATGCAAAAAGCAGCAAGGTGAAGACAGATCATTTGATACAATGATGAGACAAAAGTCCCATTAAAATCTTGAAGCCCCAATCCTGTACAGGTTGAGGCAGATTCTCACCTTCAAGCACTATTTCAACGGGATCATTCACCTGCTTAAAAGGTAAGGATGCAAAGTCTTTGCAGGAGTGAGGCCTCCATATTACACTGGAACCAACCTGCAATGAATCACTACTTGGCCTTCCAGCAAACTCTCAGAAGCTGAGTTTCCACTTTTTAAACTTTTTTTTTTTTTTTTTTAACTTTTTTTTTTTTTTTTTTTACTAGAAATAAAATGGATAGCCTAAACCAGCTTTAGATACAGATCTTGCTATCAGGACAGCAATTGCATCACTGCACCTTCAGGGCCTGAAATACTAACATGCACTTCTCTCTATTGTGGCTCTGACAAAGGGAGCTGTTGCTTACAAAAAGCTTATCTCCAAATTACTCCATAAGGTGTAATGTAGCCCTGCCTTCTACTTGATTTCAGGTTAACAAGACTAACTCCCTCTCTGTCTAACTGTTCTGGTTTTAGCCACTTGCTCCTACTTGAAAACCATTCCCCCCCCCCTCAAAAAAAAAAAAAAGTCACAGCATTCTGTGATCCAAGGTAACCCAGGTG